GCCGGGGGCAGGGCCGGGTCGGAGCCGGGGGCGGGGCTGGGTCGGAGCCGGGGGCGGGGCCCGAGGCCTGGCCCCGCCTCCGGAGCCATTTTCCGGGCGCCGCGGAGCACAGAATGCACCCGTAACTTGCCCGGTCCCGTTCTTGGCCAGAGCCTAAATTCGTTGTTCCCCGGCAGACCAACTTACCTTTGGTCTTTGGCCAAATACAAAGTGAAAGGAACTTCCCAGAATGTTAGGAAAATCGAGGAATCCTAAATCCCCACAGAATTTCAGATACCTCCAAGAATCTTAGAATGATAGAATCTTAAAATCTTAGGCTTTCTCAGTAATCAGAATGTTGAATTTAAGAAGTCCCACAGACCTACGGGAGGTTCCCTGATAAACAGAAGAATTCTCAAATGCTGGAACTGCAGACCTTCCTTAGAAATCATGGAGACTGGATTGCAGTCCAGGGGCATCGCCTGTCTTCAATTTCCAACAGGAAGTGCCAGTGTCCCCCCTCCTCCCTGCCATTCAGGGCCCACAAGCGCCCTGATACAGCAAGGCTCCAGACCTCCTCCACTCTCTCCCAGTCAAAGCTTATATTTGCTGTGCCTGCTTCCTGTTAGGCGACCAGGAGAGGCAATGGGTTAATCTCATCGTGATGTATCAGGTCAAAGTCTGGAATCTATCCTTGGACATTTTTCACAGAGCAGTTTAGGGAGGTAGCCGGATATAGGGCACAATCTGCGTGTCCCTCCTCAGGGAGAACTGGTTTCCATTTGCCATCCCTCACCAGGTACTGGGCCATGCTCAAAGGTACCTGCAAGAAACCAATCATGAGGTGGAAAAGGTCAGGTCGCTGGGCCCTGGGCAGAGGCTGGGGTCCCAGGTTGCAGCCTCACTACCTATGGATAGAAGGGCTATGGCAGACACAGATCCCAGGAAGAGGGGGGCCTGGGAACCCATAACTGGCATAGGGGATCCCCAAAGGACAGGTTAGGAACGAGAGCTCATCCACTCTCCAGGAAGAGGAGGTGCTCTGAGTGAAGGGATCCAAGATGCCTTTTAGAGTAGTAGCACCTGAGTTGGACTTTGAGGACGAGGACTTGAAAGGAAGAAAGCAGTAAGGGCAGAGGGACCAGGCTGAGCAAAAGCCCCAAGGTAGAGGGCCTAGGAGTGTCTAGGCAGCAGATGCTCCAGGGGATTGAGGCCATAGAAGTAGACAGGACCTGCTTGTCAAGGGCTTCCCAGGCTGGCAAGAGGGACACCCCAACCCTGTCCTTGGGCGGTTTGGGGCTTAGGGCTTCCAGGCTGAGGAGTGACCTGAGCCTCTCCTGGACCAGTTTGTGAAGACCATGGTGCTGGTGGTGGTGATATTTGCCATCTGCTGGCTGCCCTACCACCTCTACTTCATCCTGGGCAGCTTCCAGGAGGACATCTACTGCCACAAGTTCATCCAGCAGGTCTACCTGGCGATCTTCTGGCTGGCCATGAGCTCCACCATGTACAATCCCATCATCTATTGCTGCCTCAACCGCAGGTGAGCCCTCATCTCAGCCCTCGGGGCCCCAAGGCCTGGCTCCACCTGAGCTGCCCTGTGCAGCTGGAGCCTGACCTTTGTGCCCCCCACCCCTACATGGGATCGCCGTCCTCACAGTGAGCCCACAGCACAATGCTCTCTCCTGGTCTCACTTGAGCCCCACCTGCTCCCCAAAGCCTTGTCCAACTGCCCAGGCCACTGCTCTCACCATCTGTCTGCTCCTGCTCTCTCTTCTGGGGGCTGCATCTGGGACAAGGAGAAGAGAGAAGGGAGAGACAGAGAGGTGGAGGGAGGGGGAGAATCAGAGAGAGGCAGAAAAACAGAGAGGGAGGAAGGAAGGCGTCAGATAAAGGAGGGAGGGACTTCCTCTGTCCTGAATTTTTAAGAGCTTCCTGCAATGAGGAAGAACCAAAGACTTTCCTTGGGCGAGGTGAACAGCACCAACCCCAGCAATACAAAGCACTCAATCAGAGACCCGGGGCCAAGCCTGGAGGGGGAGCAGGCTGTCCCCTGAGACATCACAGTACATTTCCTACCCTCAAGGGGCTTTCAGAGCAGCTGGGGAGTGATCTTGGTGGAGACAGCCAGGGAGGAAGGAGTCAAGCTCTCACCCCTCCCTCGGACACCATCTGGCTCTCCCCTCCTCTGTACTTCTGGGCAAGTGGAGTCCCAGAGAGGGGCTGGCACTTGTTCTGGGGCACCTGGAGAGGTAAGAGGTGCTGGGCCAGGCAGGAACCCCAGCACCCAGAAGTCCTACTCGAAGACAAGCTGTTCAGCCTCCGAAATCCCTGAAGGTGGGGCCAGGTCCGCGACGGTAGGTGGACACCGAGTCCTGGCCTCAACAAGAGTGATGTGGGTGAGGTTGGCCCCGGGCCTCTTTGTTCATGCCTTTTATCACCTCTCTGCCCACGTGTCTGGGCCACTCTTAACACCATTAGGGTCTCTGTAGTTCAGACATCCCACCTACACGGGGCAGGCCAGAAGGAAATAAAAAAACTGATTTTTTTTCAAGTGTTTAATGGGTGCCAGCCCCTCCACTGTCTCCTGTGAGGTAATTAGATAATAGAGGGAGGGAGGTGCTATCCCCATTTTACAAATGAGGTAACAATTTCAGAAATGAGGTCTCCCCTAAACTCATACAGCCAACAATGGAGCCAGCATTCCATGTCTCTCCAAGGCTTGTAATCTTATCCCCACATCACACATTTCTCTTGCATGCAGCTTGTAGGAGTGAGACAGGGACTGTCCCATGAGGGAAGGGCCCCCAGCCCTCGGTATGTGTGTGTTGGTCTCTCTCCTACTTCCCTGGGAGACTGAACAACACCCCAGGGCTGTACAAATTTCTGAAATAACTTCTGAACCGTTCAGAATTTGATGACACTAGCTCGAAAGTGGGACTGATGCTCCTGGCAGGAGTCTTCATTGAGAAAATGTCCATCTACTGGCTATGTATGCCCGGCACTGTTCCAGGCACTCGGGAGACACCAGTGACCAGGAACAATGCTCCTTTTCTCCGGGAGCTGACGTTCTAGTGAGGGGGACAGACAATAAGCAAGCACAGTGAGTACATGAGTCAGATAGTGTATTAGGTGTTAAGTCCTATGGAAAAAAAGAAAAAACGAGAGCTGGGTGAGGGAGGACAGGAAGGAGTGGGGGAAGTAGTGGGCACAGGGGGTGCAATTTTACAGGATGATCAGGGTAGGCCTGATTGAGGTGTCTTTTGAGCAAAGCCTTGAGGATTGAGTGGCCCCTGTCTAGGGAAGAATTCCAGGCGGAGGGAATAGCCAAGACAAGGGATTTGGAATCAAGGAAAGGACTCGGGCTGGTACTCTGACACGGGGAGCCCTGAGGGGCTCTGAGCCACGGAGACACATGCTCTGATGTCCCTTTTGAAAGAGTCAGTCAGGCAACTGTGTTGGAACTGGACCAGTGAGGCAAGGGAGAAGTAGGCAGATTGTCAGGCTATTGCAGTAATCCAGGAGATGGTGTTTTAGGCTGGGCAGAGTCCGGATATTGCTAAGGCAGAGCCAACAGAATTGCATGGAGGTGGCATGAGAAAGGAAGTCAGGAATGACTCCCAGGTTCTTGGTCTGAACAATGGGAAGGACAAGGACAAAATTGTCAGTTGTCAGGAAATGAGATGGGGATGACTGTGAGGGAACGGGGTGGGGAGGGCGATGGGGAGCTCGGGCTGGGACACACTGCATGTGAGTATAAGGGGCAGAGGCCATTAAGCTCCTGTAATACAGGCATTTGTTGGACCACGCTGTGGAATCTTGCAGAGCGACAAGGCAAGGAACAAAAATCAGACTTGCTCTTCTGGAATCTGGAACTGTGGCTCCTGGGGACAGACAGTACAGTTCTTCCCCTCTCTGCTGTCCCAGGATCTCGTTTATTCCTGCTTTTCTCTGACAGGCCGCGTTTGCTTTCTGCCGGCCTTTTTCCTCCACTCCCTGTCTGCTTCCTCTGATCTCTAATTTGCATGTGTATCTCTAATTACATTGCAGTGCTGCCATGGGTAGAGCCGTTAATTTTTTAAGCAAATGTATCAAAACTTAGTTCCATGAGTATATTTTCTTTCGAAGTCCCCTTGGGAGAGCATCCTTATTCCACCAAACATTGCCAAAGCCCCAATTTTTTAAAACTCCTCTCTGAATATTCCTTTAGAAGCCAATTAACACGTCAAACAAGAAAATCTGTTGTTTCTACATAATTGTACTTGGTTTATTTTTGTTTGTCTGTTTGTAAGAACAAATGGTCTAATTCAGCTTAATCACCCAGTTCAGTCACTAGACTTAGTTCCAGATTACTTCTGGCTGTTTCCAAAAATCAAATCCACTCAAGAACGTGTCTCTCCAGGGACTCTGAGCAACTGTAGGCTCTTAGGAGTGAGGCAGTGACTTTTCTCTGCAGGGGAAATGGGCTCCTAGTGGTGGGGGCAGCCACAGGACAGCTCCTGTAACTGTCCCCCTCACTACCTGCTCCATGATCCTCCCTCCCCCAGGTTTCGCTCTGGATTCCGGATTGCTTTCCGTTGCTGCCCGTGGGTCACGCCAACCCAGGAGGATAAGATTGAGCTGACTCACACTCCATCCCTCTCCAGGAGAGTCAACAGGTGTCACACCAAAGAGACTTTATTCATGAATGGGGATGTGGCCCCCTCTGAGGCTACCAGCGGGCAGATGGGGGGTCCCCCAGATGGGGCATCTACTGAACTCTGAAGCCTTGTGCCTGGCTGCAGGGTGAGGCTTAGCACCCTTTGAGAAGTAGCCAGTTAGGAGGACCAGATCTGAAACTTTGGTCCATGCGTCACCTTTCAATACATCGATGGAAAAACAAGATGGCGCCAGGAACTTTACAGTGGATGCTGACTCTTAAGCGGACCCAGCCTTCGTCTCAGACAGTACTTCAGGAGAGCCTAGATGAGGCAAAGAAGACACTGTGAGCTAACACTTATCTAATCCAGGAGTTGCAAGCTCAGATGCCTTCTTGGGGCAACAACGTAATGAGTAAATTGGATCCACCATAAAAGAAAAGCTGCAAATATGATGATAAAAGGCAACTGGCTTCCAGTGTTGGGGTGATAGGGAATGGTGGGGACTGTGACAAACTGGAGGGTATAGGCTTCCAAAGGGACAGCAACTGATCAGCTCTGTACCAATGTTGCCAGGTGGTTATGGGAGCCCATTGTTGTCACATTTTCTAAATCAAGAGAAGCCAGAAGTCCAAATTTGTGAAACTTCCAGACTTAAAAAATTTTGCTCACATTTTTATAAATGTTAGGTAAACCAAACAGAACACACCTGTGGGCAGCACCCAAGGATGACACTGATTCATTATCAGGTTAAAGACACAAGGGAGAAGCTTCTTATTTGGCAAAGCCTGTGAGTCAATCCAGGGCTTCTCTGCCTCGGCGTCTAAGGACTCGAGACCCAGCCCAGTGTAGATGGTGGTTAAGAGTCAAAGGGATTGAAAAATTGAAGAAAAAAAAAAAAGAGTCAAAGGGAACCTCAGCTGTGTGGTGCCTCAGACAAGTCACTCTGACCCTCCGCCTCTTCCTCTCCCAATGGCAAAACTACCTCACAGAGATGCTGTGGGAACGACAGAAGGATGCCTATAAACTACCAGGCCAAACGCAGAATAAGCACTCAATAGTCAGCAGCCATGATTTTTACTGCCACACCAGCCATTTTACACGAATTCCTCCTGCAAGTCAGCACCACAACTTTCACCCTCATTTCCACAGCAAGAAGGTGGCAGGCAGAGAATACCAACTGTCCTGACTCCCAGAAAGCTCCAGTCTACCCCAAGGAGACATCACTCCGTTTGACTCACCCTCCATGCCCCAGAGTCCCTCCAGATCCATGTAACACTATAAATGCACGTCAAGATTTTAATGTTATCTGTATTCTCCACCAAGATCACTGTGCCACGGGCACCAGCAGTGCCAAATAAAGGGACTCTGGTCTCACCAAACCAAGTGAGCAGGCAGGCAGGCAGTCAGTCCTGGGGGAAGCCACCTAGAGCTGTAGTCACGGCTTGGGAGACTCACACGGCACTTCCATCACAAGGGACGCTGGTCCCTTGTGTTATGGACTGACGTGGGATCCACCAGTGGGCTGAGGGAGAATCCAAAATGGTGGGACAGCAACCTTGAGGTGGGGTAAGGATGCAAGGCGCCGACAAGGGCCAGTTTCCTATAGAAGTGGTCAATTTCAGGTGAGGGAGTGGGGAGAGGGCAACAATCCTGCTACCCTGGGCTGCTGCAGGACTTCATTTGTGTCTGAGCAGGGGTTCTATTTCAATCCACTATCTTGAGAGTTGACAGGATGATGAAGGGCAGGGTCTGCCTGGGGAGAGCAGGGGAGGCCAATGTTGCTATGTCCTCTCATTACACCCAAACAGCCCCTAGAAGCCAAGTTGACCTTTTCTTTGTTCCAATTACAAGCGAGGAGGTCAGGCTGTTAGAGGACAGGGGACATCCCTTTACCTTAAAGGTGCTGGGGTGGGGGCTGCGGAGCCTCTCCCCAAGGTAGGACCCTGGGGCTGCAGCAGGAAACCAGCAGGACACGTGCTGGAAGACAAGGGGAGAAGCTGCTTCTGTGACACTCTGCAGGGCGAGCACAGAGGTCCTCCTGCCAAAGGCTGGGGCTGAAGAACACAATCTTCATTTCAGCTCTCCCCTTGACCCAGGGTTCGCCACATCCCCAGATGTCCTCCCTCCTCCCCAGCCGTTAAGCATCACTCAGGTCTTTGAATTGGTACAAAGTTTACTAAGTCATACGACATGGCTCACAGAAGCGATGGGAAATTCCAATGAGGGCACTGTTTGTTGGTTGGTTCCTTTTACGCAAATGGAGACAAGACTGCCACAGGACTGCCCACCCCACCCCCGCCAAGAGAGACAGAATTCAGGACAGTCACAATGTGGCTATGACCAGGTCCACAGACACACAATCCAGTGGCAATGACACGCGCACATGGGAACCTTAGGACACCAGACAGCAGTGGGTGCTGGGACGGGAGGAAGCGGCGCACGCACCCCTGGGAGGGGCCCCGGCAGTGTCTGCTGGTGATAATACATTTCACACAGGGAGTGCGTCCCCAAGGATGGGCTGCGGAGGCCCATCAGGCCTGTCAGACGGTGTGACTTTTCATCTCAGGCCAATAAATAACTGTTGGACGAGTGCATAAATTAGAAATGGACGCCACTACACTTCACGTGTGGGGAAGGTACGGCCAGGTTGAAATCAAATCATGCAGAGTGGCAGGTGTGGAGGGGTCTGGAGGTGAGAGATATTATCAACAGCACACACTCGTATCTTGTACCCTAAGTTATGTGCCATTAGTTGGCTTTTGCGTTCCTCCCCGCTGTGGCAGTGGCGGGCTGGTGCTGGCATCTCCCAGCACAGCTCGTCTCGCTGGAAGAATGGGGTGGGGTCGCCGCTTAAAGAGAGAAGTTAAGTACTAGAAGGGCTGCAGGCTGGGGGTCCAGGGCTCTTAGCTGCTTGTTTCTTCTCGGAGCCGGACGCCCACGGCCGTGATGAGGGCAGCCCCCTTGCCACTACCGTCTTCTGACAGGAGGAAGGACACATTACACTTTGGTGACAGTTCCTTCACGGTTTGGTGCATGATTCTGGAGAAGCTAAAAAAGACAAGAGAAGAGAAGGGTAGGTAGGGGGAGATGAGAAGAGACACTGGACCTACCTGAAGACACTAAAGGACCCTAACAATACGGAGGGTAAACAAGCTGTGAGGGGGCTGCTTCCGATGGTGGGGAGGAAGGTAGATTTCGAGCCAATCTTATTATCACAATTTTCAGCGGAGAATCCAGAAACAAACTACTCTGTGCTTATAAGGGCCAGGGCATGAATAACACACTCAGATACACCCATCCTCAAAGTTTGAGTCTCCTAGGGGACCGCAAACCACGAGGGGTGCGAGGGCCTGGGCGTGGACCACTGAGGCAGGCCCAGGCTGGTCCAGCACCGGGTCAGTTCAGCAGCCAGCATGGGCACAAAGGTCCTCTACCCGCGGCTGCAGTCCTCTGAGACCCCCAGCCCATCACCATCTACAGTACCTGAAGCCGAGAACGGGAGGGAGGCCCTCCAGGGAAGGATAATCTTTAAATGAGAGATGACTCTAGGTTCTTGCATTTTGTGCTGAAAATGAGACAGGGCCGGGCTGAGGATGCTCAGGACAGTAAGGCGCTTCGGGGCAACACGGACTACCTTTTGTTGAACACCTACTAGGTGCCCTACACTTGACAGACATAATTTCCAGTCCTACCAGTGGCTATTATCCCATGAGGAAGATGAGATTTGGCAGAGATTAAGCAATTGGGAACAGCTTCCAAATGATGATGCCAGGATTAAATCCAAGTGTGTTATGGTTCCAAAGCCTAGCTCTAAACCACGCCTGTGTGCTGCGTCAGGTGAGGAAGAGGGCAGCTATTAATGTGGAGAGACAGAGGTGGAGATGAAGCAAGACATGGGTCCATCCCAAGCCACCGCCATGAGGTAAGCCGGTAATGCCTACGCTGAGTTGGGTGAGGTTGCTTTTAAGTAGGATGACATTATGGCCTAGTTTACTGGGATGGTCCCAGTGTGATTATGAATAGCATTCTCTTCACTGGCAAAAGTACCCCAGAATTTAGACAATAAATAATATGGTCACTCTATTCCTAAGAGCAAAGCTTTGGGACATGCGGTAGATCAAAGAGCAGAGGGAGCCACATATCCTCCGACAACATGGGGTGCTGGACACTTGACCAAGAGGAGATCACTCCCTACCCCACTCCCTGCTACAAACCCAGGGCCAAAACTGCTCCTGCCTTCCATGTCTCTTAACAAGCTCTGATTTAGCAGGAGAACGAGACAACGAACCCTCTTCTCCTTCCTTCACTCCCTCTCCCCACTTACCAAACACAGCCTCCTAGCCGGGCTGCAGCTAACCAGGCTGGTGGGTGAGCCCACGCCCATCTGTGCCTCCTCCTTTCCTGCTCCCCACCTGGACTCTAAGTGGGGCCCAAGAGGAGAGGGCAGAGGGGCATGGCATGCCTTTGGTGTGAGCTAGCCAAGTGAAGCCACTTCTCTGGCTCCCCAAGGATCCCAGTCAAAGTTCAGAGCAGCTCATGACCTCATCCCAGACCAGCCCCAGTTCTTGACCACACAGCCTCCAGGTTGGTTGTGTCTTGGTGAGGAATTTTCCTGGTAGGAGTCACATCCTGATGTCCTAATATCCACCAAGGGAACTCTCCAGCCCAGGAAGCTCTGCCCTTCCCAACCGGAAGCCCCACTCACTGTGGATGAAGCTTGTAGAGTGTTCCATCCACCCCCACAGTCACGTTGAGGTGGTTCAGCCCTCTGTTCTCTCGGATCTTATCCACCACGGCAGCCATGCCTGCACCGCACAGCTGCGCGGCCCTCTTGGACACCACCCCGCACACGGTCTTGACGAGGATACTGTCGTCACAGGTGCTATTCAGGCCCAGCTGCTGGAGGATGGCCCGGACCTGGAGCAGCGCTAATCGGTCACTGCGGAGGACAAAGGCCAGGAGGCGGGTGAAGCGGGACCCACGAGAGCAGCCTGGGAGCCAATTCCAAAGGACTGGCCCCAAATCACTATACTTACCCATGAAGAGGGTCATGGTTGGTTTGTTTTTCCCCTTCAAAATAACATTTATTTGTTCATTTTTTTTAAATGACCCCAAAAGTATTACACATTAAATTAATAGAAATTTTAGCAAATCTAGAAAAATAAATGTGGGAAAATTAAAACTATTCACAATCCCAACACTGGAGAAAATGCTATTAACGTTTTAACATATTTCCTCTGAATCTGTTTTTCCTGGATATCATTAAACAATGTCTTTGTTCTTATGATATGCAAAATGAGTTTGTCCTTTACATGTGGTTTTCTTTCCTGCTTTTGTCCTACTTCATACACCTGAGCAATTTCCCACCTCCTTATCTGAGAACAGGCTTGAAAATGGCTACCATGGTATTAGATTCAGGGGATATACCATAATTTATTTAGCCAGTTTAAAAAAATTTAAGTTGTTTGTAATTTTATGCTATTACAAAGTAACATTCCGATGAAATGAAGTTTCCTGTTGATAAACCTTTGTGTGCAACTCTAATTTTTCCCTTAAGACACATTTCCCGGTCAAGGGGTTTTTGCTACATATTGTCAAATGCCTTTCAGGAAGTCGTATCAATTTTCTCTCCACCACAGTATTTGACTGTACTTGTCCCAAGTTGACTGGGTCACTTTTTAAAACATTTGACAATTTAGTAAGAATGGCATCACACTGTGGTTCAGTCTGCATTCTTCTCTATTAGTGAGGATGAACTTTTTTTCCATTTGTTTATTGGCCATCTGAACTATCTATTATGTCAAGACTTTTATTCTCCTGGAAGATTTGTCTTATTCTAATTAAATTGAAAGAGTTGTAGATGACAATGACAGCGGTAAGAGCAGCCCGCCTTGTTGGAGGACTATGTGAGAGGTGCTTTACACACGTTACCATATGTCCTCCTCCTAACAACCAACCAAATGACAGGTATGATTATTCCCATTTTAAAGATGAGGAAACTGAGGCTGGAAGAAATTGAGTAACTCCCTCAAAGCACACAGCCAGTGGGGCGGAGCAGGTTTCAAGACCAGACCTGACCACGCTCTTGCCAACTCGGCTATGCTCTGTGTTTTGTCATATACAATGCAAGTATTTTCCTTAGTTTCCTGTTTGCCTTATAAGTTTGATTACTGATTTTTTTAAAAACTTCTAGAAACTATTAGCAAAATTTGGCAATGTTTGCTTTATTATTTCTTATATATCTCATTTTAACTTTCTGTTTCTGAGCCTCTCATGTAGGTGGGGTTCCCACATGTACATCTGCAGTTAAATCTGATGATTTTCTCTTGTTAATCTGTCTCATACACATTTAATTAGAGCAGCTGACAGAACCCAGGATGGTGAAGGAAAGTTTCTTCCTCCCTCAGCAATGAGCAAGCTCCAGCAGAATCAGTGTTAGTGTTTCTATTATGACCGCTGTGAAAACAAGGGGGTTTGGGCACAACTGCTTTTGCTTTTGCAGAGGCAGCTCACTGTGGGGCATGCACACTGAGTGGCCAAGCTCTGCGGTCCCAGCTGCCCTTCGGATGCAAGGAAGGTGGGGCTGGGCCAGTGGCTCTTGGCTCTGTGGTACTCAATGCCCCTTCAACACCAATATTTGTAATGCATCTTCACTATCCTGAAGTGGAATCCATACAACCTAGTTATACACATAATCTCAAACAAATCAATATCATGTCCCAACATAAAGGACGAATAAAAGGAACATACTTTATAATAAAATTCTATGATTTCAATATGCAACTGCTCAGGGCCTACTGCCCCGGAGGAAGAAAAAAAGAAAACCCTCACAAATGGCCAAAATGTCCCCAAGGGTGCCTACCACTTCCATCACAATGCTCTGGCCAGGCTGACCTCTAAGAGGCCCCTACAAGGAAGCCCCTCCCCACTCACCTCTCTATCTGAGAGAGATACTTGGTCTGAAAGATGCCCCGAGTTTTCAGCGGCTCAGAGATCTGCCCTCGGAAGAGGAATCCCTTCTTGGTGAAGTCAATCAAGATGTTGCGGACGATCTCAC